AAGAAACAGGAAATAAAAAGCAGATTGTAGAACAACCCTTAGCCTTTCTTATATTTTAGATAAAAGAAAATTATATATATTTTTAATATAACAAACGTTGAACGAAAAATTGATAAGATATCAAGTTGAACATTCTCTTCACATTTACACGTAATCAGGTAGGAAATTTCGTTTCTCCCGGCTTAAATATTTACACCATGTCTATGTTGCCGCTCTCGTGGGAGGGTACGTGTGCTGGGACACCCTCGTATACGGCACCCCCGTCCCCGTTGACTTGCGGCGCAAACGGGAACCGCGTTCAGACGCCGTGCACGGCACGCGATCCCGCCACCCGCGGTGGGATCCTCAGGAACAAAACGGCAGAAACGTCGCGACGCCGATCCGTCGACGCCGCCTCAGTGAAGTCCCACCGTTCGTGGCGAACACAAGCGATCGCACCCCGTTGTTAGGGTTGCAGTCGAGAAGCCCTGAGAAAACCGTACCGCCGTCAACCGTCTTCCTTCGTCGCCAAATAAAACGCTCGCTTGCAATCCTCTTTGCGGGAAAGCGTCGCAACGCCAATTCGAACATCGAGAGTATCGAGACACGCTTTAAAGATGCCGCGGGTGAGTAATTTTCTTTTAATTTTAATTATTAATATAAAATCATCAATAATTATTAAATATATATATAATATAAAATAGATTATTAATAAATGTTAATATTTTTTAAACAAAGAATTTAATATTTTTTATAATAAAAAACAATACTGTAAAATATGTTTTGTTATTCCGAAACTATCTATGAGTCAAGATACTATTAAGTGTATAAGTTCTTGAATTATCAAAGAGAGAGAGAGAGAGAGAGAGAGCTGTTTATTTTGAATTTTTATATATTTCTGCATTAAAATAAATATAGTCTCGGATTTATAAAAGAAATATGACAAAATAAGTAGGTGGCTGAAAATGCAATTAAAATCGATTGTCTTTTATATTTACATCTGCTTTTATAAAAAAATTATGTTGTAATAATTAACAAGAAAATGTTGAACCTTGTGCAACTTTAAGAATTGCATTCGTCATGAACCAAATAAAATATTTTTTCATAATTACACATTTCATATATTTTTAATAACTATGCATTTATTGATATTAACACGATATAGCACCTTTGTTTCCCAAGATTAAACCGTCTGGTCTGAAGACAATTGAATCCATGATTAGGTGAAGATTTCCGATACCTAATTACGTACACTGCCATTATCATGCAATTGATCGACGAAGTCTTCAAACAAGCGATTAGTCCTGTAAAGTTCAGTTAAGCGCTCGCTGAGAGTGTAGAAATGAAATCATTAGTAACATCGGTTAACTAGTTCCGCGCCAGTGAGAGTTGATTGACTCCTTTCATTATCTCGAACCGCACAAACACTGATGGTATGGCAAAGAGATCCTATTACTGTCTAATTCTCTCACGATTCAATTGGTATGAATGTAAAAGTTAATTAATTATAAAATTATAATTAAAATTTTAATTTTAATATTTTTTATTTATTCATCAAAATTATTTATTGTATTATACAAAAATTAATTTTTATTTTTATTTATTTAAAAATACATAAATATAAAAAATACTTTAATATTTTTCACGTATTAGACTGATAATATAAAAAAAATTTTTATTGAAATCCAATTTAAAGATTTGGCATAGAGTTTTTTTCAAAAGATCGATTTTTTTTTAAATGAAAAAGCATATTACAATCAGCAGAAACACTACTTTGCTTAATAAAAATTGCTTTGATAATTTAATTTTTAATCATATTTAATGAGTTAACATCTTGTAATAAATGTTGGTGCAAATCTTTTACATCAAATTAATATACATTGTAAAAGATATCCGTTCGTAATCGTAATCGAGAATGACCACTGGACAGTTTCACAGAGTATGACGCATTCGTTGCAAAGGGGAGTGTCGGCGTAAAATTATAATAATCATGAACTGGGGTTCATTCTGTCACAAGCTCATTCACCAGTCACATGTCCGCTATGTTACACATGTTCTCGATACAAAATCATATGTACTATATACACGAGATAAAAATGTTGTCAGAGACGTATCCCACATTTGACGCTGCAGAATGCGATCATACAATTCTCATCAGCACGTGCTAAAAGTAAGCGCGTCTGTTTTCAGTCTTTATTGTTTAAAATATCGGTGTGGATTTAATCCATCTAGTATAATTCTCACCGTGTTGTCAATATTAACACCAACATGGTATGAATTTATAACACCATGAATTTCAAATCAATTACTACGTTTACACGGCACGCTTTACGCCGAAGTTATAACATCGATGTTATGAAACTGGCTAATCACAGCTGTTCCTCTGAAGAATGGAATGACTGTGATTGGTCAGTTTCATAACATCGATGTTATAACTTTGGCGTAAAGCGTTCCGTGTAAACGTAGTTAATTATACCATCATGGTGTGGATTTAAAACTCATAATGTTAAATCCACACTAATATTTTTTGAAGTGTGGACAAATAAATTGAACGTTTACGTGTCATGTCATTTAACGAAGATTCTTTATTGGGCAGAGAAATTCTTTCTTTTTTCTCGCGATCGTTACATCATCATCGACGAGAATCGCAAATACGAATATTTCAAAGAACGTACTTCGAAGCTTGTTTCATTTTCTGACGGTGATAAGACAAATGCGCGCGACATATACTGTGAGTTGCGTGTGTATTCACATGCGTACGTACCTACACGAAATGCATACTCAGTTGCGCATTTTAACACGCGTGCACTGACACACTCACCATGGTGTGAGAAGCTCGATCGATACGACACATACGTGACGGGTATAATATTCCTTTGTAACACCGTTTTCCCTGATGAGGGCCTTGCAGGACTGCATAATAAGTCAGTCTCATTGTAAGAAATTCTTTCGCGATCGGAATAACGCAGACTTTTATAAACGTCGGATGCGTTTTACTTTGAAACAAATCGTAAAAAATGTTATCACATATCTTGTCTTGCACAATTCCGAAAACGGATCTGCGGTTTACTGATCATCACGGGCAATGTTCATTAGCGTTATATAATTGTATCAACTGCGCTGATGCAACATTTTAATCGAACTTTCAAGTCAAATAAACAAAAATGTTTTATTTTTTATACATATATACATACATAAATATAAAATGTGTAATCTATACATGTTCCTTATTATTATTTTCTTATGATTTCTTATTTTATTAACCCTGCTGGTCTGTTCAAATTTAGTACACGTTTACATAATCTGATCAATATGATAAAAAATCTTAAAAATAAAAAAGATCTTACATTAACAGATAAAGTTATCAAATATTAGAAATACAAGTTTTTAAATAAAATATAATAGTAAGAAAATAAATTACATGTCAAATATAAAGTCGATCAGTAGAGTTAACGTAATTCATGTGATATTTTAGTAATTATAGACTTCGAATGTTAATCAGGTGACATAGACTATTGATCAACAATTTCCGTAAGAAACGATTACTTTTTTTCTTTTTTGTTTATTTCTTCTGGACTTCACGTCGGAATGACGAAATTATGTCGATAATGCAATAAAATCCGCAAATAAACAAAGGTCGATTACAAAGGTGCTGGATAAAAATCGTGACTATTAATAGAAGTATTTTGAAATGTTATCAGAAATTCCAAAAGCGGTTATCGTAAGGACACTTGGTGTGTTATCGGGAGTTTTTGATTGATTTTTTAATTTTTAACACTTGATGTATAACAAAATCACGTGCACGATATGTCTATCATATATAAGCAGCATAGACATTTTCCATAATCTCTCATTTTTTCCTTTGGTACAGCAAGTGATAGCGTGTCATCGGGAAATGTTATCACGGAATTAGAAGATTAGTCCTCTATAAAGAGTGCCTCTCGGTTTTATAATAATAAAATCTTGGTTGATCTCTTAATAAAGTTCGTGACACATATATGATAACGCGAAATGAGAATTGGTGCAATCTGCACGTGATCAAGGATAAAGATAGACCATCCCTTACGAAACTGCGTGACAAATGTCCGTGCATCGTTGCGAATTCCTTCACGTTGCGACAAGGTCATAGAATCACCATCCCCCGTTTACGTATTAACTACTTTCCTCGATCAACATAATGCCGAAATCCGCGTTTTCTGATTATTCCGTGAATTTCATACACAATACATGATTTTTATCAAAAAGAATTTGATCTTTACGTCTTTTTACGTGAAATTTCTCGGTATGTCGTGTTCTCGACTTTGTCTCATCTTGATGGAAAGGGAAAAAGTGAAGAGAAACAAAAAAAGAGGAAGAAGGAGAACAGGCGCACAGACTTCCCCACATTCTGATAAAAATTCGTGCACAATTCTCCACGACGTGCTTATCGTCGGAATGAAGTGAGAAGAAAGAGCGAAAAGACGATACTCGCTGACCCACGAAGCCATAGTCTGCAAAAAACCCACTTGTCAGATACAGACAGGCAGATACGGTTCGAACCGCCTCGATCGCTGCCCTTCAATGAGGTCTCGTGGCGGAAGGAAAAAAAAAAGGAAAAGATTCCATAACAAACTTGGAATTACATACGTTTCTCGCTCATTACAATTTCGATCGACCTTCTTACAATGCGGCTATCAATCGACACGAGAATCGCGAGTGATCAGGCTCAAAAACCGATATTTTTGTGTCTTATTCTTTTGTAAAAAAAAAAAAGCTATTGCCTACGAGATACCCGCTATCATGTGAGACATAATTAATGAAGATGCCTCTCCAGTCTAGGTCGCCATTGATACCGAAACGAAGTTTTGTACTTTGAGTCAGACATTTCCGCACTTCATTTGTCACTCGTGACGAATACGATTATCTGAAATTATTGTTGATCTCAAAGTCCAATGTTAAGTTACGTTCCTTGCTTCCAATAAACGGAACGTGTTTTTATAAATGTGCGCGTTTTTTTTTAAGTTAGTCAACAATATAACGGAATATCAAAAACAGATATTTGAGCTCTTCTCTCTTTCAGGAAAATTTTATGAGAAAAAACCGACATAAAACACTACTAAAGAAGTTGTCTCTATTTTTCAATATAATTTTTAACCCTTAAACGCCTCTTTACGAGAACAATACACTGTATACTTAATCTAATTCAATTATATATAACTTCCATAAAAATGAACGTATTGTAAACAATTTTTTTCGATCGAAATGCTAAATATTAAGGAACGATATCACAAAAAAATGTATCTTTATTAACCCTTTGCCGATAACATAAACTTTAACTCTTCCCTCAATAATAGGGATCGAGAAAAAAAGCATATTTTTTTACTGTTCCAAATTATATAAAAAACTAAAAAATTTTGATATACTTGTCAAAGTTTTAACAACGAGTTTTTACCATATTAGAAGTCGAATTGTATTTTACTTATTTTTACAGATTTAAATTTATCAAAATTTAATCAAAATAACGATGATTTTTTTAAAAACTTCAGTTGTAGGTGGAGGGTTAATAAAAAAGATATAAGTATTAGAAAACAGTCGAGTGTGTAATAGCGTTAAAAGATTTTTGAATGATCGAAAAACTTTAGATCTTTAACATCGCACAGCAAAACACTCTGTTCCTGGCCGTTCGCTCCCTCTCGTTTTCTACGGTCTTTCCTACGAAGGAAATCGGATCCCTTTTTCGAGGCAAAGCCCCGAACTCTAACTCGAATACGGCGAGTCCGTGTCTAATTTTTGTCTTCCCTACGAAGGGCTTCTAGTATCTAGCATCTGAGCGAATGGGAAGTAGAAGAAGCTTGCGCTACTGCCAGGCACTGAATGGCACCAATCAATATATGCCCAGCCTGGTCCGCCAGGATATCACTAGCAAATACGCCACCGGCTTGATTTCCCAAATGAAGACTTCCTATGTACGACTCAAGTTGTCACGATGAATATGCCACGTAAACCGGCGACACACTTCCACTGGATAACGTCATTCTGACGTAGACTTTACCCCATTGATCGCAGGTTAATGAAAATTTTGCGTGTTCATCTCATATCGTAGTTTTCAAAGCGTTCAGTAATCTGACACGAGTATATCAATCGCAAGTCACTCTTGTCATATTAATTATCGTTTGCGTCATGAAAAGATGTTTACATGTTAATAGATATTTTTTTGCAAAAATTGCTGTTTTCAAATCACAATTTTTTGCGATAAAGACTGCTATTTGAAATGGACGTATAAAATCTATTGAATCCTTGACGTTAGAAGCCTTAGACTTTATAAAATTTATGATATCCTATCGTGATAATAATAGTTTATTGCCGAGTTTTTTAATACCAACGATGGATATGAAGAGTGAAGTAATCAATCGATTCTGTATAGGTAAATCTTGCAATGGTTTCGTGGCGCGTCCAGCGGCTATTCATTCGTGCGATCATAGGCGGTTACCAATACCCCCTGAGAATTTAACACCTGGGCTAATAACCGCCGCGAGATAAACCGCAAGTCTGGTAATTCATGCATCAACATTGTGTTTCACCAGCGATATGCAGTCAGGAAACTAATTGTCCGGACAGTCATTATCAATGATTTCAGTGTGACAACATTACACTGGAAAAGAGTTTAGTTACAACATCTAACTTTGACAATAGTTGGCCCTCTTACTTATAATAAATTAGATATTATCTCAGCAATATACATTTCATCCCAAAACAATGTGATAGAGATAAAAGATGTAACGGCGGAGACAAAACATAGAAAATGTTTAGAACCTCTCTTTATCAATTTCTTTTATCTTCGTATTGCGATAACGGCATATTTTGATAGCAAAAACATCTTCGTTACTACAATCAATAAACAAGCTGATCTAGTATAACTATAAATGTGTTCAAAATGTTGAAGTGCATATCGGCGCTCGATGGTCGCGGGTTCAATTATTAGGAACTACAGGCAAAAAAATCAAACTGGATAAATGCATGCAAATTAATCTTGTTGTTTTATCAACTTAATTAGTTAATATATACAGCAAAGTATATCAAATGAGAAAAAAGTTCTGCAATCAGGGCAATTACGATAAGCTCGAGCGTGTAACTCGTTAAAAATTCAGCAGAATAGCAATTACAGAATTTTCAAAAAAAAGATACATAAAATACGCAAGAAGTATTATATTTAAATTAATACTTAGAAGGCAGATTGCACTCGAGGATAAAGTTTTTGATTAAAATAGAGATATAAAAATAACACATATTGCTTATTAATCCGAAGAAATTACGCGTATGTTGCAGCCAGTTTCGAAAGGAATTCCTCAATTATCGGGACGAGGACAGGTGGAGAGGCGGCGGCTACCGTTTCTCAGAGCTTCTACCAAAACCAAGGAGGTAAAAAAAAAACAATGCATTATAAATGCGAGCACCGATCATAGTGCTATAGAAAAACTAGAGAAACTTGTGAATGTTTTAAAAACTATATGTAGAATATATATAGGACGAAAAAAACGTTTTTGGTAATTTAGATATAATTAAATTAATTAAAAATATTTTTCATTGTCTCTTTGTCATCATATATATATATCCAATTATATATATTATTATAAATATACAAAAGCATTCTCAATTTCGATAATAAAATATAAAATAATACATACAATCAAATATGATGTGGAATAAACACACAGTTATTGTAATTTAAAATTATATTTTGTATTAGAAATCAAAATTAGTTAACTAAAATTAGTTTAATTTAAAATAAAATTTTATTTATCAATTCAATTCTACAAAATTTTCGTATAGTAACCGTGTGCTAATAAAAATTGTATCACGTAATTTTCACGGCGGAGAAGTTGATTACGCCAATGAATGTGACGTCACTATTGCCATAGTAACTCGTAATAAACAATAAACAGGATTCTAACCAAATTTGAAGATGCACATGATTTCGCGTGTGCTTTTGATACATCATCCCTTATATTTTTATTACATATTTGTATAAGTTATCTAGATAATATTTATATACATAATATTAAAAATAATTGTTGATAATATTGAACTAGGATGAATCATATTTTAATTAAAAAAAATAATTTTGAATGAAAATCTATAATAAAAAAAGTAAATAAGTTCTTATTAACAATATGTTTTACTTTGTACGTATACAATTCCTTTTGCTTTATTATTTTCTTTCATAGCGATATCGAATTAACAAAAAAATTGAATTTAATGTTCTGGTGCGAAAATGAAATATAAAAGCGTTTTTAATCAAGTAAAAATAGAACACTATTTTATGACAATGTAAAGTGCAGCAGAAAATTATGTATGTACAGACGGAACGAAGCAGTGGAAGTAAGATGGATTCTGCACGCAGCGGGGGTGCTATAGAAGAACAAAATAGTGATGAAGATCTGTCGCCAGACGCTTTAGTCAGACAAAATTATGAACTCCGTCATCGTTTGGAAGAGGAGACTGCGAGTTACAAAAGACGTTTGGATACATATCGGCAGGCTCAGCAACACCAAGCTGCCCTCGTCTCACGATTACAAGCTAAAGCAAGTATAAACCTTCTTTTTTTTTATTAAACATAGATTCATCGGCGACAGCGAGTAACAATTGAAGATCCTCTAGGTTCTGCAGTATAAACAGAGGTGTTCGGAACTCGAGAATCAAATGGCAGAGACAATTCCGTGCGACACTAGTAAACCATCGACAGCCACAGTATCGTCCACTACCGTGCTTGAGGCTGCCCATCAAACTCTACGGGATATACGCGAGGAGCAAATTCACGACTTGGATACTGCCTTGAATAAACTCGGAGATGAACGACGAAAGTATGTAGAAATATCATAAATTGGGACTGAATGAACTTTTTTTTGTAAAGGTTCATAGGAAATATTTTAGACTCTTATCATAGACAATCAGAGGATTACGTTTGATATTTACCATAAAAAGACATTTTCAGGAAAAAAAAGGTTTCTTAATTTCTATTCAAATCATCCTCTTTGCCACAAAAAAGGCACAATTATCAGCTTTATAGACAAAATTATCCTCTTATAACATCCACGGTTTCAACAAAAAAATTTAATAGATGCTATTCATATTTTCTTAAATAACTGTTATCCTCTCATTTATCTTCTCTACAATTGAACAAAAATTGAAGTTCCATATACATAATAAACATATTACACGTAATTTACAAATTAAAGACAAATATTTTACGATTCCTTACGTTAAATCTATTTCCGAAAGTTTCCTTCTTATTTCCAGTATGTTTCATTGTAAACTAGTCTTTTCTATCCCTAACATTAAAAAGTCTTATTAAGAGAGGAAAAGATAAGTTAGATTTTCTATCTAACCAGAACGTAGTATATAAGATTTCTTGTGACGATTGTGAGGCGAGCTATGTTAGTCGGACTAAAAGAAGTACGAGAATACACGAACATATCTCTGATATTAGAAAGAATTCTGGTTCTCCTACTGTCATAATTGATCATTGTATCAATTTTTACCACAATTTTAGATGGAACGAAGTGAAAATTTTAGATTGCGAATCTTCGTACAACAAAAGATTAGTGTCTGAAATGATTCACATCAAAAGACAGAAACAAGGTCTTAATAGAAAAAATGATACAGAATCGTTACTTGAATCTTACTCACAGATTATTCAATGTCTTTCTCCTTCTTAACTGCATTCTTTCTCTTTTTACTTCCCCTTTCCCCACTTTCTCTTCCCTCTGCTTCAATTTCACCCCTCTTATGTTCCCCTTCCTTTCTAGTTTACCACATCAACCTTCTTGTTTTAGTATGTCGAATTTATATTGTCTCTGAACTTCTTAGAGAAATGACTATATTTTTACTATCATCGCGTTGCCTAAGAATAGACGACTTTTATATTATATTGACACACAATTTTAAGATATTTATTCTCATTTAATTTAGCTGTTACTAAATTAAATATATATAATTTATGACTGTACATCGCACACTTTCAATTCGTATTAATGAATTTAGTTTACATATATATTAAATTACTTTTTTATTTTTATTCCTTGCTTCTTATTTTGTATTTCTCGTATTAGATTGTATTTGATTACTTATTCCTATTACATTTTTACATTATATTTGTACTTTTAACAGAAACAATTATGTTTGTCTATAATCTACATACATAAACCAGAGGAATACATGATTACCGATTACACAACATTCTTATAATATTTACTTCATACTGAGCGAGATTGATGATATTAATACTGCAATTGAGAGTAAACTATAATTTTTATATATCTTATCTCTTTGTGATAATTCCACTGTTATTTTTGTTAACATTGATAATGATCCAACAGGGAACGTTTGTTTTTGTTTTATTATTCACTGTCGGCAAATTAAAGTTTTATATTTTAACTAAATGACATGTTTATTTATTAACGGTTTGAAATTTTAATTTATAAGGTTTCAATCTTAGGCTCGTAGCCTTTTTTCTTTTGGTTTTTTAAATTGGTATAGCAACTGTATGGTGGAATTTACGTAAGAATGTTTGGAACAAAATTTGAAATTTTATCAAATTCACGTATGGTCTACTGTATTAATTTGAATCATACTTTAAGACTGATTATTAAAGCATCTTCTCGTTTGTCTAAGAAAGAATTGCAATCGCATTTGTATTTTTGGTGACATTATGTTGAACAGCAATTTAAATGAGTTGCACAGGTAATCGTTTTAAATAAATTTTGTAGAGCACACTCATTTAGGAATATGTGAGATAAGACTGATTATTGAAGTATCTTCTTGTTTTCCCAAGAAAGAATTACAATCGCATTTGTATTTTTGGTAACATTATGTCGAACAGGAATTTAAATGAGTTGTACAGGTAATTGTTTTAAATAAAAAGTAAAAACTGTAGTCGTTTTAATTGTAATTGTTTTAAATAAAAAGTAAAACCTGTACAACTCATTTAAATTCCTGTTCAACATAATGTTACCAAAAATATAAATGCGATTGCAATTCTTTCTTAGACAAACGAGAAGATTTAATAATCAGTCTTAAAGTATGATTCAAATTAATACAGTAGACCATACGTGAATTTGACAAAGTTCCAAATTTTGTTCCAAACATTCTTACGTAAATTCCACCATACAGTTGCTATACCAAACTGGTCCAGCTTTCAAAAATAAAGTTTTTAGTAGTTTAGCCAGTTGAGGTAAAGTCGACGAGTCGCACCAATTTTAATAATACCTGAAAATGAATTTCGTAAAAAAGGGCTTATACATAATAATAATTACTTGTATTTGTTACATACGCATTTTTGCACTACATGAAAAAGGTGTCGCTTTGCTCCGCGAACCGAGTTATTAATTGTTATTAATTAAAGTTGACAAATATCCAGATTAGGAAATCTGTTGCATCGATGGCATAGAGTTAAACAAAAAATTTTTGGTAAAGGTGCAATAAAGGTCGATCCTCTTAAAAATCGAAGAAATTATGCTCATTTGACGCGTTTTTCCATAAAACGAAAGAATCTGGTAGAAAAAAGCGCCGCTCTGCCCCGTGAACCGAGATATTAAGCGTTAAAGTTCACGACTATTCAGGTTAGGATATCTGTCATGGTCACGCTTGGAATATTTATAACCCATGTAGACAGTGGGGTGTTTACTAGACAGTAAAAAAACCGTTCTCACACGTATCTACATGGGTTAGAAATATTCCAAGCGGACACTGTCTCAGCTGTAACTTCTAGGCGGTTAGGCCCCAAGCGGGTAGGATATGATATTTATATTTTGTTCGGGCGGCGTAGCCGCCCGAACCCAAGCATTACTGTCTACACACTCCACTGTCTACATGGGTTACAAATATTCCAAGCGGACACTGTCTAAACACTACTACATACGTTTAATTTATTTAATAGCATTGATTTCAAATTTCGTGCACTCTGACTGAAACGAAACTAAGCGCATGCGCATGAAGTCAAAGAGCATGAAGAAGGCATACTCGTAGCACTACACGTAGTCGGTATGACAGATATCCTAACCTGAATAGTCGTGAACTTTAACACTTAATATCTCGGTTCGCGGGGCATCGGTTCGCGGGGCAGAGCGGCACTTTTTTCTACCAGATTCTTTCGTTTTATGGAAAAACGCGTCGAATGAGCATAATTTCATCGATTTTTAAGAGGATCAACCTTTATTGCACCTTTACCAAATTTTTTTGTTTAACCAAGCAAATACTCTGCTGTAATAAAAATAAAAACAAATAATGTGCTTTTAAAGCAGAGAATTTATGTAATTGAAGCAGAAAATACTTATTCTAGTTTCAATTACATGTTCTCACGTCCTTCTTTGCCATCGATATGACGGATTTCCTAACCTGAATAGTCATCAACTTTAACGATTAATATCTCGGTTCACGGGGTAAAACGATTTTTTTTTTTACCAGATTCGTTCATTTCGTGCAAAAACGTGTCGAGCAAGTCTAATTTATGTATGTAGAAGCAGAAAATCACTTACGTGTTCCTCTAATCCAAATCCAGATGACGGATTTCTTAACCTAAACCTAAACTCTCTCTATCTCATTTTAGGTCCGTTTTCTGTGACTGAACTAGTGTACACTTTTGGAACTTAAAGTGAGATAGTATACGTTTGATATTTGTTTAAAACGAGAAAGAGAGTTCTAGAACAGTCTAGTACAGGAACAAAAAACAGACCATTCAATTCCAAAAGTTTTCTTCTTTTTCTATATTTGAATGGCCCAAGTTCCAATGTGATTGGATTCACGTGGCCAGTCTTATCCTTCTTCTTCTTCTTCTTGAATTATTGGCTCCGCTGTCCGCAACCTTACCAGATAGGTCGGAAGTCGGAACTGAGCCATTGATGGTCAGGATGGTCTGCATAATGAAGGCGGGTAATAGACTGTATGGAGGGGTTATAGTAGGGGTTCACAAATTGAGGAGAGCCCGCGCCCGAACCGAACGCCTGCTGCCACCCAGCGGTGGTCGTGCGCCATGAGATCGGAAGCGGGTGTTCAAAAAAATAATTCGGAGGTTTCCATGAAGGCTAAAGGATCATCTACAATAGGGATCCGTAACCACAACGTAACCGTAAGAAATCCGTAGATCACCGTAGAAGCGCTTCCGTAAGAGTTCAAAAAATTTTTGAACTCTTACGGTAATGTTAACGAAAGTTAGGTTAGAGATTGTGAGCGAAGAATTGAGTTCTATTTTCTGCAGAGTAAATAAATTGCAATAATGCTTTATGAATCGGATCGGGTTTTAATCGATTTGGTTGAGAAGAACGTGTAGTCGCTTTTACATGATAAAAGCCGTCCTGACTATAAAGATCGTGTTAAAACACGGAATTCATAGCAGTCATTCGGATAAACTTAAAAAATTGCTCGTGGTCATTATTTTTAAGCAATTGAAAGAGAGTATAAAAATGACCTTTCGTTTACGCTCCAACAGCATTGGGCGAACCCAATATTTTCTTTTTCGAATCGTTTTCCTCTTTTTCCGCAATAATTGCAGCATTATTGCAACCAAATTATAAGCCAAAAGAGCTATATTTCTAATTCGCTCAACATCCATTATATAAAATTGAACTTCCGATTTAGTTGTCAAAACACAAAATTGAACTTTCGATTTAATTGTCAAAACACAAATACTATGAAGCAAGTTAGAAATGACTCTTTTACGATTCGTTAAGTTAACGTTACGTTACGGTTACGGACAGCCATTGTACTGTTATACCGCGTAACACGGTATTGGATTCGAGATCCAGCGGGGACGACAATAGGCGGGCAATCAACTCACACAATACCGAATAACTTTTTATAATCTCTT